GGGGTTTTGTCAAACAGAGAAAAAAAATGAGTATGCTAATTACTAGTATCCCATTAGGAAAAATCTGTCAACTGAAACGCTGACACCCCTGTAATTGATAAATTTTGCAATAGGTCTGCATCACCCACAGACAATGTGCAGTGTACTGTCGTTAGGTCACTGTGACATTGTTTTCATGGTCAATGGTAAAGTAAGCGCAAACGTTTTAGTTGTACATTTTAAACTGTTGGGATGCTCTGACCTTCCGCGTCATAACTTTTCAATTGCAATAAATCATATAGTTATTATGAGTTAGAAATCGGCTTACAAATGATTAAGAAATAAATGAAATTTCACGGTTATTGTACATTATCTCCATAATTGTATTTTGCAAGAGAAGGGGAAATATGTTTGCTATTAAGGAGAGACATGTATTCTTTCACAAAACGAATATCCTGATTCCTATTTGGTTTACATGAAACTTGAACGATTTTCATAATTCACAATTTGAATATTTATTTCAATTTAAGATGTTAACATTTCAAATACTGTATTTATAATTAGACAAGTGTATAATTACAAAAGCATATTGTTTTGAGCACATGTTTGTCAACAATAGTGTTTATCTAATGTCAAACAATGATTTTAAAGATTTTATTTTGGACCAGAAAGGAATTCTATTAATCATTGTTTTGAAAAGTGGTGTGTGTATGTTTTTATTACAGATAATCCAGTGATTATTAGTAATGACCGAGCAATGATCATCGATCCTTTCCGGACACAAAGAGGACATGGTAACGATTGCCAGGTTTTGACCTTTAAGAAACTTCGGAAATCTTTAAAACCACATTACAAACAGGCTATCGAAGCGATTAAATCTGTTTATGGACATTTTGGATTTACAAACAAATCTCTGGAGGAGAATTACTCTGGCAGTATTTTTTGGTTTTCCTTGCGCCGCTATCCCTCAGAGTTGTCGACAAGAGTATTTGACCATAGTGATGTCACAGAGCTGATAGTCAGTTTCAAGAAAGAGGCCGCTACTTTGCCACTTTTTCTTAAGAACATCGGTCTTGTTTCGTTTTCTGACCAAGAAAAGAAATCCGCATCATTCTCAGTAAAATGCCATGTGTTAGAAAAAGAGGAAAAGAAATCATTTAACAGGAAATTGAAGGCATGTAACGGTGTAAGTCCCAATGACAGTATGAAAGCAATATTTCGTGTCGACATATCTCTTAAAGACGGTCAACATGTAAGTAAACAACACTGGGTTGTTTGTAATTATATAAAAGGCCGCAGCGATCTTTCTGTAGAGCTCCGAGAATTGGCCGAGGACAAACAACTGTCGTATAGCCCTTTCGTAGGACTTGCAACACCAGTCGACTACACTACGGATATACCATTTCATGGTCAAGTGTTTTGTTTTCTTCCTCTCCCAAATACGAGTGAAAATCAAACGGGGCTGCCTCTGCATGTCAATGGGTTTTTTGCCCTCAGTCAAGACAGACATCACGTAAAATGGCCACCAGATGACCAAACTGAACGAATGGACCCGCCTCAGAAATGGAACCGCTTACTATGTGAAGAAGTACTTGTAGATGCGTACGTCGATACGGTGGAATACGTCAAGAGCCTCACTGTTAAAGACAATTGTACGGAATGCGATACCAACATTGTATATAGCATACTTCCAACACAGAAAAACATTCGACCAAATTGGGATGCGGTTTTTAATCCCTTGTGCAGACGCCTCAAGGACAAGAACATTTTTTATACCAATAATGGCGACAAATGGATAAAAGCAGAAGACGCAATCTTTTCAATGTTACAATGTATTGAAGACGAACTTGAACCAAGCACCATCCGACAGACAGAGCAGTGTATATTTGATCTTTTACTCAAGTACCAACGTAATGTTGTGAAGGTTCCGTCTCACGTGGCGGAAATGTTTCCTGATGTGCCTAGAATCACACCAAAGTATTTGAGAAATGTTCTAAGAGAAAGTAATATCTACGGTAGACTTCCAGTCAAAGAACAAATTTTTCTGTTACAATTCATTCTCGCAGATCGACAGTATGATGACCTTCAGAACCTCATGTTGCTTCCTCTCGAGGACGGTACCTTCAGATCATTTGACGCTGAACAGCCTGTGTACCGTTGTACGGCAAGTGAGATGAAGATGTTTCCTGGGACTGAAAGGAACTTCATCAAATCAGACTTACCGCAACAAATAGCTGATCATCTGAAAGAAATCCAGAATTCAGGTACGTTATTGATTCACTCTGTTTAGTACTGATGTTGTTTGGAAATTTGATTTGAGAATTTTCAAAAAACGACTCATGCCTGTATATTCCTTCAGCACATGAACATTTTTGACTCTTTGAAAGCATGCTTAATAATTTGCTCTTCTAAAGTTAATATCACGTTAAAACCTCGTTTCGATTTAGTGTACATGTAACAGTATTATACTAAATTAAACAAATTATGATCAATATTAAAAGAAACATCCATCTGAAAAATGTGTAAAAAAACCTAGATATCTATTGTATTTACTTTTACAAATATATAACAAATAACAATTTGAGGTTACTGTCGCTTCTTACCAAGCCATTTTTTTTCTTTACACTTTCTTTATAACTAAAATTGTCAATGCGACGCCGTTTTAAATTGTTACACGTTGGTTATGGCACTTTCTTTCAAATCCATTAGACCTTTTTATACTTTTATAGTAATTGAATCAGCGCAAACTGGTGAAAAATTAACATGATTTTGATTTAAAAATAAGCCGTAGGGCTAACCATAACTGCTTTTCTGAGATCAGAATGTAATTTTTAGTAATTTTACTTGCGTAATTCAGAAGAAAATACCATATTTATCAATTATGCAAACAATCATAAATTTGTAATGTCACCCTGTTATAACTTATAACACTGGGCTACATTACCAGCACACTTGGAGGATATCGTATGAATTTGTTCTTGTAACCAAACTGATTTATTTCACCAAAATCACATACTTCATTATATTTATAGTGCAGTTTTTGCAGTGTTTGGTTTTCATCAACCTTTTTAGAATAAAATGTGAAGAAGGTGTTGTTTCCATCTCTATGTAGGTTTCTGCAACCTGAGGACTCTGAACGCAGACGGATTTCCTACCTTACTTAACGAGACATTGACTGCAAATGGAAATATTGGAGCCAACGGATGCTTTAGTTCTACCACCCGCCACATTACAATGAAATGGCTCGACCACGTCTGGAGCTATATCGGTCAGAAAAATTATGAAGTCCTGGAAACTTTTGAAAAGTTGAATTTGGTTCCTGTAGAGGGTAACTCTATTTCAAGTGAAGGATTGAAACTCATGCCGTTAAAGGGGTTGTATTTGGTGACAGATATCGATGGAATGGCTTCGCTTGATCAAAACCTGTGTAACGCTTTAGAAAGGCTACCAATTACTGTCATCAGACATATTGCCAAAGGTGAAACACTTACGTATCTAATGGGTACCTATTGCAAGTATCCAAATCTCGAAGGACTGCTTGAACTTTTAGAAAGTCTGTGTAAAGTCTGTATAAGACAAGAGTTACTCGAGGAAATGACACGACGGTTCAATGACCAATGCAATTCCGAAGAAAAAACAGCTTTGCTGAACTTTCTTGCAAAAGATTGTCAACATTCTAATTCAAATGCTGATAGATTTATCAGAGAATTGGCTATATTTCCAGAAACAACAAACGAAAACACCGTTTTAGAGTATACATCTGTAGCAAAGAACGGACACATAGCGTGTGAAAACAGCATCCCAGTTAAATATCATTTACCTCACTTGCACTTGGATAACATACAGAGGATGCTTGCTGAACGACTAGGAGCAAAGGAAATTTCAGAGACGAAGCTAGTTGAAAATATCCTTCAAGCCATGACCAACACTCCTGAAATCTATGAAAGATCAAGCATTGAAACTTTCATGATGTATGTACTTAGGTTCTGTACAAGGCTGTCCTCAAGTGAAGATTTGAATGATATCATCTTTTTAGGTTCGGGGATCAAATTCATTGCAACTTCGTCTTCATCGAGCACAACAGAGCTAGCACCGATCCGGGCATTCTTTGATCATACTAATCAAGGACTTAAGGAGTTGTTTCGTTTTGACGACAGCAAGTTTCTCATTAAAAAATATCAGAAGGAGGAATTAGAGTCTGTACTTAGAAACTTTGGTCTGAAATCCGATAAGGACGTTAAAGAAGACGATGTTTTAAATGTGGTACGAGTACTTGATCGAGAGTGCCGAAAAGGGAAACAGACGCAAATGGAGGAAATTCGTCATTGTTCATTTAAAGTAATGGAAATACTGGAGAGGATGGAAAGGGAATCCACCGTAAATTTGGATTTAAGGGAATATCAATGGATATCTTTCATCGACAAGAAACCAGTTCATTATCCTGATATACTACCTTGGTGGGCGGATCATTGCCAGTCTCCTCTATGTACTCCGCAAGATGTATCCTCGAGTAAACACGAGACGCAGGCGGCATCTGTTAAATGTATCGTGGACACCTCTATCTTCCCTTGCCTTGCAAACAAATACGGATGGAATAAACCTCCAGATGCTAAGACATGTCTTTTTCAATTGGAAGCGGTGAGAAACGTCTTCTGTAATAAACACAAAGCCAAGTTGAATGGTATTTTAAAAGACATATACCAACAACTGTTTGATGATATCAATTCATTGGATCATGAACTAGAATCACAGCCGATCATTTGTACAGGAGCGACTTTTCATCTTCCTAGAGATGTGTTTATATCTTTTCCCTTGGACGAGAACATCCATCTGGAGCCTTATATGTACAAACTTCCACTTGAATTTGAAGAGTTCTCTAAAATGTTTGTTGAACTAGGGTCAGTTCAAGAACTTGAAATAAATTCATTGAAGTTCATCCTTACAATAATTAGGACATCAACTAGGCCGTCAACGACCGAGAAAGATAGACAGATGGTTGTTAAAATTCTTAAATTAATATCAAATCTACGAGATGCAAATGATAATCTGAGTGATGTATTAGTACCTGTCCAATCACAGAATGCCAATCTGGTATTACAGCCGGTAAAAGATTGTACGTACTCCGACGAGGATTCAGGCTGGTTACAAAATGAAGAGGATGATGACGTCAATTATGTCCATTCCGATGTTGGTGCTGAATTAGCAGAATCGCTGGGCGTTGAGTCTTTCACTCAGAGATTTTTATCGGACGGTGGAACAGAAGAAATGATTGTAGCATGTGGACAGTCTGAACCTCTGACGACAAGACTTAAACATTTGTTGGAAAACTACCCAGATGGATTAGCAGTGCTGAAGGAACTTGTTCAGAACGCAGACGATGCCGGAGCTAAACATATTCATTTTCTATATGACGAAAGACAGAATAAAGAGGCGACAGTAGGCTTAATCGACGTTAACATGGCAAAATGCCAGGGTCCAGCGTTTTGGGCTTTCAACGATGCTGTTTTTACCGAACATGACTTTGAAAACATTGTCAAACTTGGAGGGGAAACCAAAAAAGCAACGAGAACCAAAATTGGAAAATTCGGGCTTGGATTTTGCGCCGTGTACAATATAACAGATGTTCCCAGTTTTGTAAGTGGAAATTCCCTGGTAATCTTTGATCCTCATACTACTCATCTAGGGAAAGCCATCAAATACAAAAGTAGCCCTGGAATACGGTTGACCATTTCAGAAAAAAGTTCTGGTATGCTAAAGCGAATGAGGAACCAGTTCATGCCATACAACAACATATTTGGATGTGATTTGTCTGGAGACACTAAACCTCTCAAGTTTGAAGGAACGCTTTTTCGATTTCCATTAAGAACAAAGCAACAGGCAGTAGAGAGTGAAATAAGAAGTACTCCTTATTGCAAAAGTGACATGGTACAACTTCTCCATCTCCTTAAAAACTGTGCAGGGGATCTGTTGACATTTACACAGAACTTAAAGGATATCAAAGTATCTCATCTGCAAGAGGACAGCGTTAACCTACCGAATGATATTAAGCTCATGTTTAGCGTTGAAAAAGAAATGATCAAAATGCATCATATATTGAACAACCCAGCAAACATCAATGTCATGACGGAAGCCGAAAATGTTTTGAGAACAAAACAACCATTTACAAAAACTGAAATGATATCACTTAATATGTATACTTTAAAAAATGAACTCCTGAAAGTCGAGGAAACCTGCTTAACGTCTTCTCCCTGGTTAGTGTCTTGGGCTTCAGGAACTAATCAGGATGTCCTGGAAAAAGCGATCCAGCTGCAAAATGATGGGGCCTTACCACTTGGTAGTGTTGCAGTTTCTTTAAAAGATATAAAATCACCATTGGTCCCAGTGCCATTCCCGCATAAAGAAAAGCTGCGTGGATTATACGACAAGAGCCACGTTTTCTGTTTCCTTCCTTTGCCCGTCGAATGCAATCTTCCGGTGCATATAAATGGATGTTTTGCTGTCAGCAGTGATCGGAAAGGCTTAGTTAAGAGCACAAGTGACGAAAAAAGCGAAACAGAGAATCAAGTCTGGAATAGAATGCTTATGTCTGATGCAGTATGCAAAGCGAACCTATGTTTATTGACAAGTCTGGAGCATTTCGAAATGTCTTCAGACGAAATTTATTCAACACTTTGGCCTTTTACTGTGGATCAGTCAGATGAAACATCATGTTTGTCAGATGCGTTCTGTAAAGCCGTTGTTCATGGAGATTACCGCGTGTTTTATACGCCACAAGGACGTCGCGCTTCATTCAGTGAATCCGTTTTTCTTGACATTACATTGCGTTATGACAACGTTGTTGGGGAATATGCTTTCGAAACTTTTACAAATTTATATAAAGATGAAAGAGTTCCTATGGATATGCCTCAAGCGTTACATCGTCAATTTTGTACAGCTGATTGTGAAGAGGATCTTGTGCAACAAACAATGACCATGAAAGAATTTTATGAGGACATTGTCTTCCCTCACATTCAGCAAATCGATGCAGAAAAAAGAGATGCACTGGTGATGCACATATTGAACACCGATGACCATTCTCTGCAAAATTTACTGAAATCAAATCCATGTATTCCTGTTCTACCAAATGGTAGATTGAGACTACCGAGGGACCTCGTACGACCACGGTCAGAAGTATCGGAGCTTTTCTGTGACGAAGACGGTCGATTTCCTAACGACGCCAACCAGTTCTTTTGTAGCGAGATAAACCTGAATTTCCTTGTGCAATTGGGTATGATGGAACGAGCGTTGCCAGACGAGCTTGTTGTCGAGAGAGCCCAATCTATTTCAAAATTGCTTGAGCTTGAACCGGCGTTTCATCGTTGCCGAAGGTTGCTAGCCTACCTTGCACGAGAACAAGATAATTGTCCAAATGATGTCATACATGATTTAAGTACAACGGCCTTCTTGCCTATTCTTCAGAAGCCTGGCGATTGGCCTGTGACCTGGTTTTCAAATGCAGATGAAACTAGGATGTTTTCTCCACCGAATCAAATGTTCTTTCCAGAGCACATGGAACGAATTGCGTGTTCACATTTTATAGTTAATGTTGAAGAACTAAAAAACGAGTTTGATGTTCTGATGATTCTTAAACGACTAGGTGTGCAACATGAGGAGCTACATGAAGACGTTGAGAAACAACTTGTTGAAATTGGTAAAGTCGATGAACACATATCTGACAAGCAGAAACTACGATTGCAAGAAATATGCATGTCTGTATACAGGTACTTGGACAGCTCATCAGAAAACATGACTGGTTCCTACGATGACCTTCCCATACTGTGGATGTCTGATCGATTGATTCCTCCAAAGCGTGCCACTCTTGAGACGTTTTCTAGAATTGACTGCACACCTGAAATTTATCAGGTCGTTTCACGTGATGTTACAACATACGAAACATTTCTTAAACGCGTTGGTGTCAACACATTTCTTTGCAAAGACAATGTTATTTTAGCGCTGGAACGGGTGGAAATTGACCACGATAAACCTCTAGAACTGGAGAAAGTTATGCTGATAGTGAATCTATTAGAGCTTCTAGCTGAAGTATGTAGACGACGTGGACTTACTTTACAATCTGACGAAAAAGCTCGTATCCTTGTTCCAGATGATACAAACAGTTTGCGATCATTAGACGAAGTATGTGTAGATGATGATTTTCCCATGCCGAGACAAAAATACATGTATTTTGTCAACTCAAAAGTGTCGGGAGAAATCAACAAGCTACTAGACATTAAGTCAAAGCGAGTTAAGCACCTAAATACTATCAAAGGCAGTTTGCCATTCGGACAGAAAGAGGAACTAGTGACGAGGCTGAAAGGAATCCTCGTTGAATATCCTCTGGGTGAAACAATTTTATACGAACTGTTGCAGAATGCAGATGACGCAGGGGCGAAAGAAATCATGTTCATTGAGGACCAGAGGCAACATAAAACTAAGAAAGGCATATTTGGTGAGAGTTGGTCTGACATTCAAGGACCGGCGTTATGTGTTTTCAATGACTCATGTTTTTCTGCTGCAGATCTAGAAGGCATTTGCATGCTTGGTAAAGGAACGAAATCACAAGACCCAACAAAAACTGGGCAGTTTGGTATTGGCTTTAATGCAGTTTATCACTTGACAGACGCACCCTCTTTTATAACAAGAGGTCCATCTACACCAAATCAAGGAACATTTTGTGCATTTGACCCGCATTGTACATTCTGTCCAGCTGCTGATGATTTGAATCCAGGACTACAACTTCCTGATTTGACGGTACTCGAGGAGACATACCCAGGTGTATATGAATGCTATTTACAGGCGGAGTTACCTAGGGTACAGGGTACTTGGTTTCGATTTCCATTACGAACCTCGAAAATGGCAGAAATGTCTCGTGTATGTAAAAGAATAATGGGAAAAGAATCACTACGAGAATTACTCAGCCGATTCCAACAAAATATGAAAAAGTGTCTTTTGTTTCTGAGAAATATCAGACAAATTTCATTATGTGAAATAGATCGCCAAGGTAAAATTAAAAAAAAACATACAGTAGTGTCAACGCTGGAAGAAAACGATGAGCATCACCTGAAGAGGTTTTTCAGCAAATGTGACACACTAACAAAACAACTGTTTGCTGAATCAACGAATCTGCTCGAAATCCCCAAACAAACAATTCAATACATCATGACCATAACAGAAAATTTACGTCATCCTGAACGTTGGATTATAGCTCAGACGTTTGGATTAGACGCCGATACGAAGGTACCAGACAGTGTAAAAGAAGCTTTGGAATGCAGGGAAATAAATCTCACGCCAAAAGGTGCAGTAGCTCTACCGTGCACACCAGGGGGTAGGGACAGTCGATATGAATGTGCGCAACTAGAAATTTCCAAACCTTACGACGATACTTCCATATTATACTATAGTGATGGTAAAAGCCAACCAACTATTCTTGACCGATTTGCTTTATCTTCGTCAACCATTGAGATGTTACGCTACAGCAAGGAGTCGGATTCTAAAGGTCAAGTTTTCTGCTTTCTTCCTCTCCCTTTGAAAACTGGACTTCCCGTACACATAAATGGTCATTTTGCTCTACATCAAACACGTGGAGCAATGTGGAATACTGAATCACCTAGAGGTTACTGGAACAGATTGCTATTAGAAACAACTATATCAAACAGCTATGTCTTAGCTATCGAATACCTACGCGATACATTCCCCAGTTATACTGAGGACGGACAAATTGCGAACATCGAAGACATCAAAACTTTCTTGAATATGTATCACGACTCCTTTCCGCGATACAATCAAGGGAAGTTTGATCTGATAAAAAACATGGTTTCATCGTTCTTTGCTATACTGTATGATAGTGAGTCCACCGTTTTCCCGGTACTTCCAACGATAGAAAAGCCAGTATGGTGGGTTGGTCTCAAACAGAAAGAACATGCATTTCCTGCCTTTTTCAATAATCTACCGGATGAGTTTTGGACTGAGGCACAAATGGCCATAAAGGAACAAAGACAACATAATGGATGGCAACTTAATCACGGAGAAGAAACCAAGCGCCTACAAGAAACCAAGCGCCTAGAACAAGCTAAAAATAATGCCCACCAACTCTCATACATCCTAAAAAATATTGGCGTGAAGATTACTGAATCGCCGCTCTGGATCAACGAGAGTATTCAAGAGGCATTTCAGAACCTGCCAGAGTTGCACATTCAATGTGCTATGACCCGAAATGTTTTTAAGAAAAACCTACACATGCTCGATCATACTTTTGTCATTCGTTTCTTAAGAACAGTAGATATAACTGCACCAGATGTTTGCCTGGTAAAAGATGTAGATCGAGACCTTACGGACACGCGAATAAAAAACATGGAAAACATGCTCTGTCTGCTACTGTATTGCCTCAAAGATAAACAAGTCTTCATCCAAAACATGGAACAGTTACCCTTACTGGTAACTAATGATGGCATGCTTAGGCGTTTTTCCACAACAAGCCATGTGTTTATATCTCAATTTTGTGACCTATTGAAAACATCGGCAAATGAGTTCGTACACAGGGAGATGGTCAACTTACTACAGGACATCCAACCGGTCAGTCAGTTCTTGAAAAGTTTAGACTTAAACAGTTTTGCAAGAATGTTACCAGACAATGTGGATATGGCTCCACTGTCAGCAGAGGAACCGATTCCATGGGATCAGAACGTTTTAAGTTTGAAATGGATGAAGGAGTTCTGGCGATATTTGGACACGTTGCAGCAGATAGACGTCCAGAAGTTGGGTAATTGGTGTCTCATTCCAGGAGAGTGGAAACGTACCGGACAACCTGGAATTTTAGTTCCCTGCAACAAAGATTTTGTTCTCATGAACGTCAATTCGTTTGAAGAAGAACCCCTACGTACAGTGCTTGCCTCGTTACAAATGCCAACACCACACTCATGTATCTGTTCCAAAACATTGAGAAGTGTTGTAGCCTCACAAAATGATCCAGTGCGTTTCGTTCAATGCCTTCATTATCATAAGAATAAGTTAAAATGTCTCTATCCGCTTCAATGCACTGAGGTGTTGCAATACTTGTCGAAAAACATTAAAAAACTGCATACATCAGTGGTTTGCAAATTAAAGAACCTCCCTTTGTTCACAACTGTCTATGCAACATGTGTCCAACTTCATGAGAACGTGGACATTTACATTGTCGAAATCGACAGCGATTTCCCAACAGACGGACTCGAAGTTTTTTCAAACAACTGCAAAATTGCTCTGTTGAAACACAATTTTTACACATCGGAATTGATGGAATTTTTGACCTGCAATCGTACTATTTCAATCACTACGTTATACTGCAAGCTCATTCTGCCAAACTTCCGCTATATCGGTCAAGTACATCATTTGCGTCATTTGAAATATGTACGAAGCATTCTTAAAGATGACCCTAGCTGTCCATTGAAATCTGCTTTGCAGTTAGCTGAATTCATTTTCCATGAAGGATCATTTAAACGAGCAAATCACTTCTACAGTCCCCACAACAAATTATGTAAGAAACTCTGCGATCAGTCAATGCTGCCGCCTGATCCGTTTGGAGATTTGAAGTGGGAGAAGTTCATGGTACACGCTGGTATGAATGAAATTGTTACCGCTGACTTATACTACAAATTTGCTAAACAAATAGAGCAATCTGTATTGAAGGCTGGAATGACTGAGGAAATCATAGAGCAGTCTAAAGAGATGGTCACGTTTTTGATCAAAACAGATGAGCTTTTAAATAATGAAAAGCTTTTGGAAAGGATAAGGAATGTTAAGTTTGTGGAACCCTGTCGTGTCAAACAAACATTTAGGGAAATTTATCCGCAATTCGGATGTGAGACTTTGATATCATTTTGTGGATCCGCACCTCGCTCTCTTGCCCCAGTCTTGTGGACTACGATATCGATCCTACCAGATTATGGTTATCCTCATAAACAACAGATCGAGGAAAGTTTGGGAATACTTCGTACCCCACCCTTGCGTGATGTGTTATCTCATACCCACAATGTGTGCTATGCACTCAACAAGAAATTATACGAAACAAATTCAAAACAAAGAGGTAATTACCTTTCTGAATCAAATATAACAGAACTGATGACAGAGATATATACATATTTACAAAACAACTGCATTGATACTTCTGAAACCAAACAAATGCTTTCGGAAACACCGCTCGTACATTTGAAGGAAATGGGAATATTTGTCACCGCAAGACAAATATCTATCACATTTTGCGGAAAGAAACAGATACCGCCATATCTGGTTGAGATTCCTCTGCATTATGGACCTTACAAGGAACTATTTAAAGCCGTTGGAACAACAGGATCCGTTACACTAGGTCAGTACTCCGATGTACTATACCGTATTCAGGCCGAAGTAAAATCAGCGATCCTGGGACCTGAGCGGATAAAAGACGTCTTATCTGCTCTGACAGGATTTATGATGCTACTAGAGGAAGCAAGCTTGCAAATAATTGAAGAGTCGATAGCCTCAGTTGAGACTTTGTATTTACCTGCCTCGGACAAAAGTTTAGCAAAATCAGCTGACTTAGTATATGCTGATAAACAAAAGCTGAAAAAAAGAGTAACCCAAGGAAGTGATCATCGGATAGTGTTCATGCACAGTTTGAAGGACTGTCACAAAACTGAAGACCTCATCTTGAAACTACCGGTGAGAATAAAACCAAAAGTATTGAGTTCCATCATACAGGAGCATCTCATATCCGTTTCTAATAATGAACCGGATACAAAGGTAGACGATTTGCGAGTATTTCTGGCGTCTCCGAGATTTTTGAACGCACTTAAACAGATAGGCAAATTCGAGGAATTCGACAGCTATAGACAACGGTTGTTGAGCATCTGTTTTGTTTCTCCGTCTGAAATTAAAACGATCTTGCATGTGGATGGTAGACCTATTCGAGGTACAGAAGGTACTCAGGTGTGTTTTTACTCTGAGGGCGAACGAAAATGCTATATTGCAGCAAGTACCCTTCAAGTTCGAAACTGGCTGAAGAAAATTGGACAGCAACTCTGTGGAATGCTCTCGGATTGTTTTGAAAAACGAATTTCCCCGGAGAAATTTCGAGAGCTGATTGATTACGTTGACGACCCGACAGGATTTAAATTCTATTGTGAAGGACTTTTAGACGAGGAAGAAAACGATGACGACTCGTTGTCATATCATCCGGGCCAAATAGTACCTGTTGGCCTGCATGCTTTACTACAGAATGACATCAATCTTCTAAAGGTTGGAGATGTAGTTGCCTATGAAATGTTTGACCCAGCTATCGATGGTGACAACGATGATGTGATATCTAAGGACGCAGCGTCTGATGCCGTTTATGTTTTTGTGAGAATCGTGCAGGAACTACCACTAGCTGGTCAACATTCGTTTCATCAGAAATACAAAGTGAATTTCGGTCAGGACAACGAAAAGATAGTTTCAGGACTGCTTTTATACAAGGTCATTTATCCAGGATCATCCGAAACAACCGAATTAGTACTTCATCAATTTGGAAACGATGGATCTATACCTTGTAATAAAGACGGCATATTTGACCAAATTATTTTCACTTTGTCGAACGCTTGGAAATTAAATGATAAAGATCGGAAACGGGTCGTTAAAAGATTGCTTTTGGTGTGGCATCCTGACAAAAACCGCGATAGAGGTGAGGAATATGAACAATTTTGCAACGAAGTTACTAAATTTATTTTTGATATCATCAGACGTCTTGACAACGGTGAATGTTTTGACAATAAGTCTTCCGATGCATCGGACAAAGGCAACTTTCATAACTGGCATTATGAACCGGACGGAGGCAACAGAAGACGCAGAAGAAAATGGAACTTCGATAACTGGCAATATGGCGACAGTTGTTCCAATTCTTGGCAGAACTTTAGGGACCGGATGTCATCGAGGCATACTAAAAACCAGAGCAACTTCAGGCATTTCTTTTCACAAAGGAAGGATTATGTTCCTGATCCGCAACTTTCAGAGGCACGGAGGTGGTTTCAACAAGCCCGTATGGATTACTCAAGCGGAGTGAGCTCTTTAGAAGCTATCAATTCCACAGATGGTGATAATAAGACCAAGGAAGACTTTAACTGGATTTGCTTCAAATTCCATCAAGTAAGATGATATTTTCATTATTTTCCCACTTCTCTGTTGTCTGTTTGAAACAAATGTGAGGGAAATCTATATTTTATTTAAATACAAAACTTTCTTTTCTGAAACAGTCTAAAGAAGGTGATTATTTTACACAATAACGATAATAAGTCTTCTTTTCTATTGTACTCGTATATATGGCATGAGGTCCGAAACTACTTTTATGTAGAAACATTGAAAAAGATTGAAATAAAAGTAAATGTGTGTGTCAGTATACTCCTGTTCATTCAGGTAAAACAACCTTAAAACAAAAGTTTGTTCTTGTTCAAATAACCATATGAACTTTATTGTACATAATAAGTAAAAAGCATGAGATTATACGACTCTGAAAGGAAGCCGACCGCTCTTCGACACAATTTATTGCGACTGTCTACTTACAAAACGTATTTCAATTATTCAGATCTCTCATCTGGTAAAAATGTACATAGGGAATCAGTTAAGTTGTGTTTTCTTATCTATTTTCAGGCTTGTGAGAAGGCATGCAAAGCTTACATGTACTCTGTCGACGCAAAGAAAGTGACAAAATGCCACTACCTGCCAAATATCCTCCTTAACGACGACGAGCTGGGAGATTTGTTAAAAGAAATAGAAAATCTAATCGGCAGTTACTCAAAAATGCGTTACCCGGACGTGATGGAGTACCCTAATATACCAGGAACCATGTACACAAAAGATCAGGCTAATAAACTCATGAAATTAGCTGAAAAAGTGATGGAAGGGATAAAAGACCGATTAAAGACCCTCCAATCCCCCTTCTGAATAAATCATGTGTAAAATCGCGTTCAGTTTGGCAAGTTCTCAACAAACTTTGCAATTTGTGATTGAAATCAATGGAAGAACGCCGTATATGAATAAATAAGAAATCACTGTTATCAAGATTTTGCAATTTTTGAATATACTTTACCTGAAGTTAGTAACATATTTGTTGGCATAACGTTTAATACGTAGATACCATTTGCCTTAAGTCGCATGAACAGTTATGCCATTCTGTAATACGAACAAATGATGCCATTCTGTAATGCGAACAAATGATGCAACTGCTTTATAGTTTACAATGTAAATAATACAAATAACTTATCAGTATATCATGTCCCTATTATAGTGTAGATAATTTCATGTATTAAACTAGTGTAAATAATACAAATAACTTATCTGTATATCATGTCCCTATTATAGTGTAGATAGTTTCATGTATTAAACTGGTGTAAATAATACAAATAACTTATCTGTATATCATGTCCCTATTATAGTGTAGATAATTTCATGTATTAAACTGGTGTAAATAATACAAATAACTTATCTGTATATCATGTCCCTATTATAGTGTAGATAGTTTCATGTATTAAACTGGTGTAAATAATACAAATAACTTATCTGTATATCATGTCCCTATTATAGTGTAGATAATTTCATGTATTAAACTGGTGTAAATAATACAAATAACTTATCTGTATATCATGTCCCTATTATAGTGTAGATAGTTTCATGTATTAAACTGGTGTAAATAATACAAATAACTTATCTGTATATCATGTCCCTATTATAGTGTAGATAATTTCATGTATTAAACTGGTGTAAATAATACAAATAACTTATCTGTATATCATGTCCCTATTATAGTGTAGATAGTTTCATGTATTAAACTGGTGTAAATAATACAATAACTTATCTGTATATCATGTCCCTATTATAGTGTAGATAGTTTCATGTATTAAACTGGTGTAAATAATACAATAACTTATCTGTATATCATGTCCCTATTATAGTGTAGATAGTTTCATGTATTAAACTGGTGTAAATAATACAATAACTTATCTGTATATCATGTCCCTATTATAGTGTAGATAGTTTCATGTATTAAACTGGTGTAAATAATACAATAACTTATCTGTATATCATGTCCCTATTATAGTGTAGATAGTTTCATGTATTAAACTGGTGTAAATAATACAATAACTTATCTGTATATCATGTCCCTAGTATAGTGTAGATAGTTTTATTTATTAAACTAGTGGTCAAAGTATATGCTTGTCACAATAAGGACATTCCATAATCGTTACATATAAATCTGAACCTTAAATGTTCTAGAGAGAGTTATCGTGTATATTTGTGTCTATGGTTTTCTATATCCTTTTACATATTATGAACAAAACTTGTTTATTTTCTAACCACTATTTGTTATTTTATAAGTCTGGTCTATAATGTCAGTAATATCAGAGTACTCTTTAGTTAACTGCACTGACGTCTTTATTGCTATGGAATAAAACTGTATCATTTTATAAATATATTTATGCTATTGATTGGCACCTTTTAAGAGTGCGACATATATAACTAACAATTAGTTATATGATAAATGTATAATTTGTTGGCCTCACACTAACTAAATACTACATATAGAATGATTTCTTTAATGAAACGTGTTTCCGGAATAATTGTAATAATTTTTCAACAATGTTTGATAAAGTGTAAATACTTACAGATTCACAAGGACATTTGACTTTTATATGTCCATTATCTAACAATTTGTTTCAGATACTAATCCTTTTCATATTTTTTTGTGTATTTAGCGCCGATTATCTGTACAAAATGATTTTATTTTTTTAAGTAATTATATTTTGTTAATTTTTCCTGTGTAATATATAATTTAACAGTTTAAATAAGGTTTTCTTTTTTTCTGCTGTGACAAATACCATTTTGTGATTTTCACATTTATCCGACCAATCAATTACGACGTGAAAATAGCCATGTCATGTTACCACCGTCACCCCGTTATACAGTATTCCCTGTATCACATGATCATATTTGCCTGGAATTGACACTCTGTTCACGATAACCCATGTCTTTGCAAACAATGTGTTGGTGTCTCAATGAATACCAGTTATATTATTATTGTGGAATGAATATTTTACTTATTTTTTGCACTCGTTCTATGCCCTCGAATAAAATATCAAACTATGCCCTCCACTAGTCAAGCGTTACTGTTTTTCGTTATGAATCTTTAATGAATGTAATGCCTTATATAAATGGACACAAGATTGACAATAGATATGCATGCACTTGTTTTATAAATAACATTTTGTATTGTCCCTTTCTTGGGAACTTAGTTTTCAAGCGGAAATTACCATGTGTTGAGCTGATATGCATAGTCTTCATTTACGGTGCTGGAAATTTACCGTTGACGAATCGTAAAAGTGCTTTGAATTAGCAACATCATGTTTGCTTCTGCATATTTGTGCTCTGATTTTGAAAATAGAAGCGGAAATTTCCTCAACTTGAAAAGTTTCCTTTCTAGTTTTGAATGCATACATTTTTTATCTATTGTACAGTTTATGTTTTCATTTTGTATCTAGTTTGCTTTTTATGTTTTCACAAATTCTAATGATGATACTGTTAACCTAGTAGATTTAAGACTATATTTTGTATATATCTCAAAAATAATTAGTGATGCAATTATCCTTATTTAACTTTTATATATGCAGTAATTACGTCTCAAATTGTACAAATCATTTAAAAAAACACGTCTTCAGCAATGTGATATAATTGTAAAATTCTCATGTTTTATTATCTTTTTAATACTGGCTGTAATCGTTGAAAACCCACTAGAGCTTAGCGATAAGGTAACAGTTATCTTCCCATTTATATTCTGTTGTAAATTGATCATGTGAATATTATTAATTTGTAAACTACTAGAAGTCAAAGCATATGCTTATCCAATTACACTATGTAACAAAAACTGCTTTATGTTCATGATGGAAAGCTGATCAGGACGACAGTGTCAGATGTTGTGGATACAGTAATCTGTATCATGTTGTAAATATACAATTTGAATTCTTTTAAATTCATTATATTATATAGTTCATTATTTTATATATATTTTTTCAATTCCCTATAACAATTCGTATACTAATTCATATATGGGTAGCCTATGTTAGGAAATATATTCGTATGCAATACTGTGAAATCTGAATTTAAAATTGAAAGAATTTGATCTGTGTTTAAAATAATTGAATGTTTTTAATAATATAAATATATTTCTGTATATATAGAAATAGCATTAACTGTTAAAACTGTTTTATATTTACTGTTTCTTTATACTGTACATATATTTCGTACATAGTATTTCTCTATAGATACACTTTGTATAAGAAATATCTGTACATCCATATTTTGTATCTGAGTACTTTAGACAATGATCTATCATCATTCTGACCTTTAGTATCACTGATAAGCCTTTAATGGGCAACATGGTCGTATGGTGCAGTGTTAATGGGCGACATGGTCGTATGGTGCAGTGTAATGTGGGCGACATGGTCGTATGGTGCAGTGTAATGTGGGCGACATGGTCGTATGGTGCAGTGTAATGGGCGACATGGTCGTATGGTGCAGTGTAATGTGGGCGACATGGGCGTATGGTGCAGTGTAATGTGGGCGACATGGTGGTATGGTGCAGTGTAATGTGGGCGACATGGTCGTATGGTGCAGTGTTATGTGTTTGGCTTCCTCCATATGTAATGAAAACTGTCTAATACGTGTTTTTATCATGTATGCAGATAGTTTGTACATTCTGTTTTTGTGTGCATATATAGTTTTTAAGTACTGCTTTAGAATGTATATATTTATTTTTGGACATATTATACTATTTCTGGTTGAATTTGTTTCCTTCATATTTTTTTGTACAAAATATCTTCCAACACATAGGTTTTGTCTATATTACACAGATAAATATACATATGTGTGTGTGTGTGCGCGTGTGTGCGTATGTACCCTGAATATTTGCTTTATTACGCTATGAAAATATTTTAAATGCAGTTACTGATGAAATATTCTTGTTTAACGTTTGATTATAGTAACATGTTAGATTTATTTAAGTCTTTGAACATGTGATATCGATGTTCAATTCAAACTGTCGTATACATGTATGTTTTATAGCATTTCATAACCTTAAATACACATATGAAAGTTGTATTGAATTATATTGAATTAAACTTTGTCTATTTTATCAAGTTTGTAAATAAATTAAAATCTTAAGTGGATGCATTTCGAAACACATTGTTTAATTATAATTAGATTGCTTTTTGATAGAACATACTAGAAATTTGATCATACCAAACATATTTCGGCTTGATGGAAACATACTGATCAATATGAATCAGTCTTGTCTTGTGTGAACGCAATGATCTATGTTAAGTCGGTCATGATTTCAAGTTACAAAAACTTATGAAGTTCAAATCTACGTTACATTTGGTTAAATTAGTCAAATGTAATACTACAGTGTCATGTACATTTTATTATTCCTTAAGCAAATGTCGAAATACATGGTGTTTTTTTAAGTATATATAAGGAATTTGATTGTGATATACATTTTATAATAAATAGTTTAACTATATGTTAAATGAATGTTAGAAATGATATTGATTTAGTTTGATTTACTATCTAATTTATATAAAATACCGAGTGGTTAGTTTAATGCCACGACGATTATTTATAACTAAATTGATATTAGAAATGATATTGATTTAGTTTGCAAAACAAATCCCATAGTTACATCAATATCGAGTTATAAGTTGGTTTCATGTAATGCCATGTTTCATATTTTTATATCTTTGAACCTCACCGATGTCAGAAATGGCATTGATTCAGTTTATTATAAGTAATATTTAAATAAAATGCAAAATACTATGGCTAGTGTGAATTAATATGATATTAGAAATAATATCGAGTTAATATGATTTATTACCTTATATGCTTAACAAGCATAACTATGCTATTACTATAATTATGTAGTAAACGTTGATGATTTGAACTAAATGGATGTTAGAAATAATATTGATTTAGTTTAGTTAAATATCTTATTTACCAATAACATCAAGATATAAATGTAATACTACTAAAATGAATTATTAAAGGTGTGATACTTGGAGCCAATGAACTAAATCGATGTTAGAGATGATATTGATTTAGTTTGTTGTATAATCTTGTATACATTCAATATCGAGTTATATATAATTATTTTGATTGATAACTTTTCATTACATAAATACCGAGTGTAATAATATTATGTTAACGTTTTATTAAAAGTATGATACTTGGAGCATATGAACTAAATGGATGTTAGAGATGATATTGATTTAGTTTGTTGTATAATCTTGTATACATAAAATATCGAGTTATATATAATTATTTTGATTGATAACTTTTCATTACATAAATACCGAGTGTAATAATATTATGTTAACGTTTTATTAAAAGTATGATACTTGGAAAATATGAACTAAATGGATGTTAGAAATGATATTGATTTAGTTTGTTTTATAACCTTGTATACATAAAATATCGAGTTATATATAATTATTTTGATTGATAACTTTTCATTACATAAATACCGAGTGTAATAATATTATTTTAACGTTTTATTAAAAGTATGATACTTGGAAAATATGAACTAAATGGATGTTAGAAATGATATTGATTTAGATTGTTTTATGACCTTTTATACATAAAATAATGAGGTATATCAAATTATTTTGATTGATAACTTTTCACTACATAAATATCGAGTTTTATATTATTATTCTAACATTCTATTAAAGGTATGATTCTTGGAACATATGAACTAAATGGATGTTAGAAATTATATTGATTTAGTTTGATTTATAGCCTTGTATACA